AAAATAAATAAAATAAATTCCTAAAAAGGAAATGAAATAAAAAAAAACAACTAATTTTAAACAATACAATCTAAATATTTAAATAAAAAACTAAAAAATATATACACGAAAAAAAAATTAAACTCTTAAAAATAAATCAAACTAAAAAATATTCTTTTTAAACCAATAACCACCAAACCATTAAAAAAAAATTAAATAAAAATTAAAAAATAGATACATAAAATAAGTTTCTAAAAATTAAATAAATTAAAAAATATAATTCCTTGCTTAAAAATAAAAAGTCTGAAAAATTAAATTAAAAAAGAAAAAAAATATATGTAAAAAGCAAAACAAAAATTACGCTGCGCCAGGAAGTTAGTCCTTTTGCCGTTGGGAAACTTGATTTCTCCACATATTTGTGAGAAGAAATATGACATTAATATGTACTTATTTTTCTGTGCCATTTTAGATACGAAAATTCTATACTTTGAATTGCATGCATTTGTTCCGTTGACATCTGGATTTTTTGGATTTCTTTTAGAATTTTGGGTTTATTTTGGGAGACTACTTCAGGGTTATCGGGGTTCTTGCAACAATTTGTGATTTTCATGACGAAATATATTGGTATTTTCGGAACTATTCCGGTATTTTACAGACTTTTTCGGAACTATTTCGGGATTTTCGAAAATAAGCAGTTTCATTGCATAAGTCGTAAATTAGACGAAATTACACGAGCAGACAACAATGGCATTGCGAACTGTCGTGCTGAAATAATTAGATGACGAAATTCGTCGAAAACTATGTAGTGCTGTGAAGTTTTCTCGTTTTAGTACACTAGTCGAGTCGAAAGTTTAAGCAATGCCAGCAATTTTCGGTTTGACTCTCGAAAAACGACTTGCACACGACATTCGCAATGAAGCTGAAAATTTATCTACGATTTGCTTGGTTGAGCTGAGATGAAGTGAGTTCAGGTGAGTTTAAATTAGCTGAGTTGAGGTGGGGTGAGGTGGGGTGAGGTGGGGTGAGGTGAACTGAGGTGTGTTAAGGGTTAGGCATCTCCAAATATTTAGTATTTGGGTATTCAGTACTCAAACTGGCATTTTAAATACAGAAGATGAAAATATGTAAATTTTTTTTATTTGATATATTTTGTTTCTAATATTACCCGCAAGAGGAGATGCAACTGAAAAACCACATATCATCTTTAAAAACTTTGTGAAAAAAATATTAAAAATAAATTATCGAAATTGGTTTGCCGTACCAAACTTTTATATTTCCGTCGTTTTGCATAAAAACATGACCTTATTTTCAACATCTTCAGACTATACAATAGACTTAAGACAAATTCGAAAATTTATTTTTTTTTAATAACTTTTATTTTTCCGCCGTTTCTGCAAAATAATCTCTTGTGGAAATATGATCTTTGGATTGAACACTTCTCATATCTTAACCGAATATATGTACATATGTGTGTAAGTAAAGGGTTAAAGAATTTATTTCTATTCTATTTCCAACCCGCTAGTGTCTGCAGCAATAGCAATCAAATATCGCTGTATGAGTTGGTCATCAAAATATATCAGCATTTAATCAAAGTAAATAAAAATTTAAGTGAATGGGTCACGAGAATACATATGTACACAAGAGTATTTGTTGCGACAGAATGTGCAGGAAAAAAATTGCATTGTGCATGTGGATGCATATTCTTTCATACATGTATGTATGTGCATTTGAGTATGAATTTGTATTTTATTGCAAATATATTTATACATATGTATGTACAGATATGTTGTGCACAGTATAAACTTGAGACATACATACAATAAATAAATTTGTTTGCTTATATGTACATATGTATGTTTCTACTTATAAACGATAGCAAAGTAGCATAATAATAATAAAAAAAGTTGCGACAGTTGTGCTGAACTGTATCTAAGAGTAAGAGTAACTGCACTGATGCATGGGGTGCACGACGAGGTCAGTGCAAATATTTAGGTGCAATAGTTGTTGCAAGTGAGCAGCAATAACTTTCCAACGGAACAATAACGGACACTTGTCAGTAAACGATTGTGGCAAGTGGACCGCATGTGGTGTGACGGGTGTACATAAAAGTTGGGGTAAAAAAAAATCTATAAAATAAAGTTGCAGCATAGAAGAGTGCAAATAGAGCGGGTAATATGAAGTGTGTTGAATTTTGTAAAAGGGGGGAGGAGTACACTTAAGCACACAGTGTCATGGCTGTAGTGTGCAAAGCAAACAAAAAGAAAAAGAAAAAAACGCGCATTATCGCTGTCAGCCAGCAGTGCAACTGAGTCGCAGTTGGTTGAAATGTTGCAATGAAATTTAACTATTTTTATTTACATACAATCAGCAGAAAAGCGAACAAAGAAGCGGGGGAAAAATATAACAGTGAATGCAAAGTATTTGTAAATAAGTAAAACAGCTAGATGAGTAAATATGTGCTTGTATAATTATTTGTGAAACCAAGCGCTTGTCGCTGGACCAGTGAGAGATAAAGGAAAAATGACAGAAAATAAACCAAGCTGCGCCAATTTGAAAAAGCAAGAAATAAGTATTTTTTTTTTCTTTTTGTGAAGTCAAATTACGGGCAATAAAATGTTGTTAAGCTCACTAAGACTCCAATAACCAGCCGCAACTCATCACTGGGGCAATGAAGTGTGCGCTCGAATTTTTTCAATCGCCGTACCGAGGAGAGTTTAACAACCAAATTTAAAAGAGGCCGCACAAATTCAAAAAAAAAATTGTACTTAAAAACAAATTAAAATGTAAAGCGTGAGTTAAAAGTGCTCAACTGTGGAAACATATCAAATATATGAAAAGTTAAAGCAGACGCGCGGTCGTGTTGCTCATACGCCTGGACGTGCTAACGATATCGACATAAAAAGTAAAGTATATATAGCACCAGATAGTAAAGCGAACTGAGTTGAGTGCTAAATAAATAGAGCTACTTATTTTCCCTCTTCAATCCCACCCTGATCCCTAAGTTCCTCCCCAAACCAACGCCATAGCTTTAAACATCTAAGCCCCACCACACACGCGCCGAGCATGGCCGCAGCTACCAGCGATTTCACCATAATCCGACGATAATCCCACGCAACGTCGTTAGTGAACTTTTGTCAACAGAGAAAAATAAATAAATAAACAAACATTCAAAAAAATATCATACAAATAAATAAATTTGATAAATTCAACTAAGGAGCAAGCTGCGGCAACTAACACAACCACAGCCAATGCTTAGTATCGCCATCCCACCAACGCTAATCCATGTTGAAGCAATTTCGTTGCATTGCATAAAAACCACAGCCAAAAGACTAGGATTCAAACTGGCTGCTGCTGATTGCTTTTTCCAAAAATATTTGTGCCAAACGCTTAGTATTACATAGTGCTAAGTGTTGTGCTGAGCGCCAAGACCTGCACACACACACATTCAAGGCACACGCCATGAGCCACCAGTTTCAAGTGAGCTATACCGCCCTTGAGATGACCGATGATAATCATCATGCTTCCTCTATGCCGTCGGTGGTGTCCTCATCATCGCCACGTACGGCGCGTAATGTCAACTTTCACGGCGAAATTAATGATACACCACCCACACCGCCACCCGGATTTCCACCACAACAATTGCCACCAGCACGCCGCACTTCGAAATCCTTCTTTCAGCGACCACGTTCGATGTCCGCTTGGAGTGATATTAGCCGGAGTAGTATGCGTTTGGATGAACGGTAAATATTAAAATATGAAATATGTATTAAGTTATTCTTACTTGTTTTATTATTTAATACATTTTAAATACAATGCCAAAGTAGTTACTAATACAGGTTTACAGTAACGCAAGCTTGTCCCTTTGGGAGGTGAGCTTTTATTCTCTTTTTTTGTAGCTAATTTCAGTTGTCACTAGGGAGGATGTTTACATTAGGTCGTTTATTAAACGAATGTGATGTTTATCGAATACAATTTAGAACGTAGTGTAGCGCTTCGAAAAAGATAGTCGAAGAAAAATTTTGTACTAAGAGAACTTGCTTGTTACTTTTGCTGTTAAGTTTTTACAAAGCTAACCCTCAAATTCTTTAAAATCGTCTTCTAAATGCTAGAAGACACTTTGCACAGTGGTGCAAAATTTTGAGTTTAAGTTAAGTGGAGAGTTCTTTGCAGAAGACTCCACTTCGAAACTTTCCATTCAATATCTAGTCGTCGATTGCCATTTATAATAATAATACAGGCCAACAAAAATCGTCGTTTAAAGTACAAAACAGCTTATCAACAAAATGCAAAACGGCGTATGTGAGATTGCATAAATTATTTTCTAAAGAGTAAAACCACTCATATTTATCGATTTTGTTGTTGATGTATTTAGCGATTTCGTTATCGATATAGTTATCGATTTGGTTATCGATTTTGTTAACGATATTTTTATCGATTTTGCTACCAATATTGTTATCGTTTTTGCTGTCGATATTTTTATCGAATTGATATCGAAATTTTTTTCGGTTTTGTTTTCGATATTTTGGTGGATGTTACTATCGTTTTTTGTTATCGATAGAGTATGGAGATAAAAATGAATATAATGGAAGACAGAATAACATAAATGTAATTAGAATGAACAGCAAAAAGACAAAAAATATAACTTTAAGCTACATACATGTGTATATTGGTTATGAGACAAAATAGATATGTAGCGTAAGTTTCACTTCTCCAGTGTGGCCCTGGCACACTTAATTTTTTTAATATCACAATTTTCCAGTATTTTTTTTATTGATGTACGAGGGACAGAGCTTCTCAAATATTGCACAAAACGAAATTTCTTAAAACTTCGTTTTTTCACAAAATCTGGAGCTGATGGAAACTGTATACTTTCGTATTCGTAATCAGCACAAAAAAGTCTATAAAAGACTCGTTAACATTTGCTACATCAAAATCAGTGTTGTCCTGTGTAATAGTTTGTGCTAAAATATTTTGCAAAGTGTTTGGCCGAGCTTCTCCTCCAATCTTCGCATGCTATTTTCAGGTAAAAAAAGATTAAAAAACATTACTTTTGAAGATCTGTTTCGAGGTGAAGGTAATTTTTAGTTCATCAGATCTTTAAAATGACCTTCAAAAGTAAAATTGTCTATTTCATCTAAAAGCTGCTTTTAAGGGATTTAAAAACCGCCGGTAGCATAGAACAAAAAAAATAGTCCACTGCATTGATAAACTTTCTACTTTTTTCGAAATCGGTTAAAAATATTTAAAAACGTTTTTTCGGTTCCTGCAAGCATGGAAATGGATTCCTTGATGCAACAACTGTTTAAAATTTTTCAAAAGTTCATGGCATACTGGTTTGAGGAGAAAAAATTTAAAACATACATTTAAATGACATTTTCAAGATTAAGGTAATTATTTTATCCAAGAAGACTATTTTTCCCGAATTCCCCATCTTAAAAGCTTTAAATACCATAACATTTATTTCGCTACTTTTAGCGTTCTTGGGGTATTTGTTATCGTTACTTTCTTCCTAAAATAGAACACTGTGCACGTCGTAGGAAAAACCTTCTTCTAGATTATATGTGGCTGGACCAGTTATTGAACCCAGGTCCTAAGCAGTGGTAGTACGCACCTTTAACCATTCAGCCGCATTTTCCGTCATACTTTTTATATCATTTTGCTTTTAGGGGAATTTTCGGAAAGGCCTAAAATTACCTATACGAGTGTAGGCTAGTGTGGGTTAAAATGTTCCGAGAATATATTCCTAGGTCAATTTGAGTGCAGTTTACTTAAGATTAGGCGCACCCTTAACTAAGTTTTACACATGATTTTTTATATATCTTAGTTTGATGTTTGACCATGAAATTCAAATTTCAAACCACTGCAAATAAAATTGTGGCGTACTGGCGCAAAAAGAGTTTTGGGCTTTTGTTACTGATGTTTTGACTTACCTCACTCTTTTCAACTATGTAATTTCCACTTTGCAGAAAACACCGTAGTATTAAATGCATAAATGGAAGCTTAGCAAATCAGGTAGAATACTATTAAATTATTCTGCTAAAAATAAATATCTTCCTTTGCGGATGACAAACAATGAGTGACATCTTCTAATAAATACCTGCCGAATATAAAGGCATCCTAAGTCAGTAAACTGTCCACTGAGTTGTCATCTCCACGCTACCAGTCAATACAATACCCTCTCCACCTTTGTGTCAATACCAAACATATGTCAAGAATTTTGTACTAATCTGCCTCAACGTTGCTATCACTAACTATCAACAACAAAGTCAGTCAAAATATTTCTGACTGCCATTCTTTAAGCATTGTGTGCACTAGCAATCTCCACCACTAAGTCCACTCGGTCGTAGCTCATAAGCGCAGCTTGCTGTCAATTACGGTTAATGGAGTGAAGTACGAATTATGTATGTATGTATCTCACTCACTTGTACATGGCTTATGCTGCTATGTACATACATATGATTGGCATGTCAATCGCTCGTTTACTCATTATCAGAGCTGGAATGTATTCGAGTTCATTCTCTAGCTAGCCAGCGGTAACCACAGACTCATCGAAATTCCAACGTCATTCACTTCAAATTCCCACACTAATTGAGTATCTATCCAATGCGGTTGTGTGGCAAGCTGCAAGTAGAGGGTGTTTTCGGCCGACCGACGGCTGTAGCGCGAATGCCATTGGCAGTGTTCAAGTGTTGTCGTTAAATATTTTAAGCTACTAATTAAAACACTGTAGCTTTTTTGACATTTTGCTATGAGCCAAAAAAAAAAAAACTCGATGGAATTCTTTCGTGAAATATTGTCATTTAAACTTATTTGTTATTATACGAGTAAGCTTTTGTTATTGTTGAACAAAGCGCTAGCTATGAGTGACGTGTTAATTTATTTGCACTGTGGTTTTTAATTTTATTGCTACTTGGATGGTTTATCTGTGGGAGAGTGTGTGTGCTGTATTTCACATTTCCATGAATGGCAGGCATTGTGGCATGGAATTTAATTTATACGATTTTTATATCGTGAATAGAAGTTTGCATGGTACATCTTATCTTATCTTCGGCAAATAACCGGAAAGGCATACAGACTTAGTTTTCCAAAAATCATAGTATATTGCAAATACACTCGAGATGGGGTCGAAAAAAAAATGGAAACCATAGTAACAAGAGAGGAAGTGAAATACAGCTCATTCTCGAACGAAAATATAAGACAATTACTCTCACTCTCTCATTAAAATTTCAATTCAATAATGGGCTGGATTTCGAATTCAAAGCGAAGGAAAAATACATTGGATAACAAAGTTTCCGTTTTGCTGGAGAATGGCCTGGTTCTCGAATCTAATACTAATCTATTCCTCATTAGTTATCGAAAGTGAGACTCGAAAAAAA